CCATTTAGCAGATTACTTTGAGATTACTTTAGCTGCATGAAAACATTGCTGTACCCTTTATGAAGAAAGCCATATGTTTAAGAAATCTTCCAATCAATTCTACCCTGAATGAGACAGGGCTTATCTACTGTATCTTTTTGGGAGCATGGGCATACTTTTTCAGTGTACCTTTTTTCCCTGTCCAGTGCTACCTCTAAAGCAATTCTTCCCTATCAACATTTTTTCAAGTTATCTATTTTCCTTCTATTCCTCTATTATGAAGAAAGCCATATGTTTAAGAAATCTTCCAATCAATTCTACCCTGAATGAGACAGGGCTCATCTACTGTATCTTTTTGGGAGCACGGGCATACTCTTTCAGTGTACCTTTTTTCCCTGTCCAGTGCTACCTCTAAAGCAATTCTTCCCTATCAACATTTTTTCAAGTTCTCTATTTTCCTTCTATTCCTCTATTTTTTTAAAGTCATTCTCTTATTTATTTATTTATTTATTTATTTATTTATTTATTTATTTTTTGGTGGCTGGCCAGTAAGGGGATCCTAACACTTGACCTTGGTGTTATTAGCACCACGCTCTAACCAAGTGAACTAACTGGCCAGCCCACACCTATGTTAATATGTCCTAAGATGTGACTAGCAAATTCTTCCTGCGGTGCTGGGGTAAAGTGGCCACTGTACCTCCCAGCCTCATGTCCATTGGGTGGTGGAGTTTTCTCTCTGAACGTTTGTGGTGTTAGTTGGGAGCAGTTTGCAAAACTCTGATTCTCTGCTGAGAATGGGTTTGCTTCCTGGATATGCCATTAGGACAGTATTTCTTCAGCTATGCTGTTCCTTGGAAACTGACCAATCTGACTTTCATCTGTGGTTTTTAGAATATAATATAAAAATAATTACTACCTTCCAAGTTTTTAAGCATCTCACTATTAAATGATGTTTTCATAGATTGATTACTGTGAAACTGACTTTGAGAGTACATGTCTAGCCAAAATTTTTCAATGGCACCTACACATCACCTTTTCCGGAAGAATTAAGCAACTATAAATTAAGAAGCATACTAGAATATATTGACAATTAGAGTGAATGTGGGTAGAAATACCTTTTTTTTTCTTTTTTGCACTCAAGAATGGTTGGTATATTATTTTACTTATTGTCTTTATTTCATTCTGTCAAAAAATTACAGCCGAGGGATCAATTTTTGCCCCAATTATAAAGTAATATGCTATGATTTATACCTTAAAGAAATCACTTATTAACTAAAGCAAGTATTAAGGGAAATGTCCAAATGCAAACCTATAAACATTTTATCTATGGTTTCTTCACTTTTTCATACATTAATCTTGAATCTATATTTTTTCAAAAGGGAAAGTGTGCTGTAATGGTTTGTTAATAAATTTATAAATAATAGAGTAGTTATTCTGGTGATTAGAGGGCAGTCTAGGAAACTGATTAATATTTTGATACCAAACACAATGAGAAAAAGTGCAGTTCTTAAATGTAAATCAGGATTCTACTCTTTCTTTTTTTCTTTTTAATCACGTGTACTTCAAATGAAAAGCTGAAAGTTGATAGACCGAGTTTATATATTATATGAAACTTGGTGAACAAAGTGAAACTTTCTTAATAAGTAGGTTGAAGACCATTTTTAAAAAAGATTTTGACTTAGCTGATTAAACTCAACATTTGGTCTGAAAATATCTTAACTGTTTTAAACATGCAAAACTCAACCAATCTTAATTCCCCCCCCCCACTATTACTAACTCAAAGAGCAGATATACATTATCTTATAAGATTACACTGTACCTTTTGGTACAGATAGATAATATATTGTTATCTGTGTTATTGCCTGGTATTTCTCAAACATGATGCAGGGTGAATTTATATAATTTAGAATGTGAACCAGCACAATGTGTCTAAAAAGACCAATAAATTGATGTGGCAACATTGTGTCATTTGAAAGATATTTATGAACTGAAAAACTAACTGGTTAAAATGACTTACCTTTAGGAGCACCCAATTATAGGTTAATATGATGTATTAGAATATGAACTTATACTTTTCTGGAAGTTAGAATTTAATACATTTTATATTTCTAGATGCCTCAATGTTACAGAATTTTCAGGATGAAAATTGAACCCCATGGCTTTAAATATAGTGCACGTGCTGATAACACTCAAATTAATCTGTCCAACCCTATGCTGTCCCTTGAAGCTTTGCTGTACACCACTCTCACCCCAGTCCACCAAACCTTCTCCTTCCCTGGCCCTGTGTGACCTTGGAGGCCTCAGGGACTCATCTCTTTCCCTGACACCCACGGCCTCCCCATCAGCAAATCCTGTCAGTGCTATTGTCAAAATACACCCAGAACCTAACTGCTTCTCTCAGTCTCCTCCACTGCCACCTGCCCTATCACCAGAGCCACCTTCCCTGATTTCACCTTTTCACATGCAGTGCATTCTTCACACTAAAGCCAGTATCATTAAATGTCATCCACTGCCACTCCTCTGCTCAGAATCCATCAGTGGCTTTTCATTTCTTTTCCGTAAAATCCCAAATCCTGCGTAGCCTGCAACGTCCTGCATGATCCGGCCCCTGCTGCCTCTCCACGTCATTTCCTCCCGTCTTCCCCATTTCTCTTCAGCTTTAGCCATGTTGTTGTCTTTGCAGATCCTCAAATAAACTCAGCCTACTTGTGCCTCAGGACCTTTGCACCTGCTCTTTCCTCTACCTTGTTGACTCCCCCAACTTGTTGAGCTTCCTCACTTCATGCAGCTCTCTGCTCAAATGTCATCTTATCAGTGAGGCCATCTTTGACCACCCTATCTAAAATGAAACAGACCCCTCTATCACTCCTACTTTGCTTTGCTTTCCTCCATAGCACTGTGAATTCTCCAATCTGTTATATATTAATATGTTACCTAAACATAAGCTAGAATCAGGCTGGTCCCGTGGCTCACTTGGGAGAGTGTGGCGCTGATAGCGCCGAGACTGTGGGTTCAGATCCTACATAGGGATGGCCAGTGCGCTCACTGGCTGAGTGTGGTGCACACAATACCGTGCCAAGGGTTGTGATGCCCTTACTGGTAAAAAAAAAAAATATATATATATATTTAGCTTATATATATATATATATATATATTTAGCTTATATATATATCTAGCTTATATATATATAAGCTAGAATGTAAGCTCTATGATAGTTGCAGTGACTTACTGTGTTCTGTTTACTGCTTACAGCCTTAGTGCCTCAAATAAGTCCTGACTATATAGTAGATGCTCAATAAATTTTTGTCAAATGAATGAACATTATGTTTTAGATGTTGGCTCCTACTGAGATGTATCAGTTTTTTATGTTTATTCTTTCATTTACTTATTCATTCATTGTATAAAGCCCATCACTATGCTTAACTCTGAGACATTATTGATATAGTGACAAAAATAGTCTTTTATTTTTAATACTTTGTAGTTATTATTTTTAAAAGCACAGTACATATATTATCCGTTTTGAGAAGTAGACAGATTCTAGATTTAAGTTCTTTTTTTGTTTTTTGCAATTGCAATGATCTTCCAATTTTCAAATTAGACTAAATTTTAAGGATAAATCTGCTTTAAAATTTATAGCCAGTTTTTTGTTTTTTTACAGACAGTTTTGATTACTATCTAATAATATACATAATTTTTAAAGGAATAGTGGTGGTGGTATTTTAATGTTTTTCTGTTTTAATATTTTAAGAATGCTTTCCCTTCCTAATTTATAAACCTAATTTATAACACTTTGCAAACATAGTGTTACTTTAATTAACATATCACATATTCTTACATACACTTCACATGTAGACAAGTATTTAAAATCAGATTTGTATTAATAAAAAAAATGACTTAGGCTACCAACCAAGCCATTAATTGAAATAATTCTTTCCCTTTTATGTTAACTTTGGGCCTACCCTTTTCTCTTCTCTTTTTTGATATGAGATTGTCATTATAAGCCAGATTCCTTGTTCCTCCTGAGAAAGAAATACTCAATATACTTTATATATTTATGAATGCTTAGCTGTGTCACTGTCCATAAAAGATTTCTTTTATAAAACATCTGGTGACCAAATCAGTGCAGATGAATATTACTTGGGGATATAGAAGACACACATTCCAGGCAACATGGTCTTTTATGGAGAAAAATAACAGAGCAGAAAAAAGAATTGATACCACGTTTGAGGTTTCTGAGATATTTTGGATGCCAGAATAAAATAGTGTTACTGTTTTCTTGAGGAGCCTGGAGTTCGGCACCCATCTCTAGAAGTTTGTGTGGAGCATTTTTGAATCATGTCTTTGTTCCTTATATTTGTTTTTGATCAGGTGTAGATTTCCAACTCAAAGCTGCCGCATTCAGCAATTGCTTTTCATCAGATTTTGGAGAGTATTTGATGAGGATACCTTAAAACTTTCACTTTAATAACCTCAAAGTGTGAAGGCAGTGTAAATACCCTTTGTACTTTAAACCTGGCAAACATGGCCTTGTTTGTCAGTTTTTAAACTATGACTAATGCTTCTAATAAACCTGACTGTGAAAATAAAGAATAGTTGTTTATGGAGTGATTATTAACTAGATGATTGTGGATTATCATTCTTTATTCCTAAGGGAAACCCACTCCAATGTAGACCTTTTTTCTTCCAGCGTCTGTAGTGTTCAGCACTTGGTCCTATATACTTATTAATTGTTTAATAAGGATAAGCTGCAAGTTTTGCTGTTTGTTTTCATTTTTATTTTGCCAAAAGAAAAATGAGTATCGAGGCCATTTTCCAAAAGGGTTTTCTCTGGAAAATTCTAGTGACATATGAATAAAATAACCTGATTGAAAATATTAATACTGACCCAAACTACTAACTGCAGGAGAAATTTGACCCTTATTTCAAAGAGCTAACATTTCATCGAGTACATGTCTTTGTCACAAAAGAAAGAAAACTCATTTTGTATACATTGACAAGTTAGAATTTTTTGTTATCAACAGGTTTGGCAAACATCGAAAAGATGACAAGATTGAGAAAACGGGTAAAATAAAAATACAGGAATCCTTTACATCAGAAGAGGAGAGAATACGAATGAAGCAGGAGCAGGAGAGGTAGACTCCAGTTATTTGATTAAACCTCATTAGAAAGAGGTTCTTTTTTTTCACTTTCTACTTTCTTTTTTTTTTTTAATGTAAAGATTTTGCATTCAGTTATTTTTTATATTTTCTTTCTCAATCCAAATATTGGTGGTTGCATGATGAATACAATGTAAAAAAAAAAAAGATGTTTTAAAAAATAAGGCCATGGGTTGGCCCGTTAGCTCAGTTGGTTAGAGCACAACGTTATAGCACCAAGGTCATGTGTTCGATCCCTGTCCTGGCCAGCTGCAAAAAAAAAAAAAAAAAAGAATAAGCCTTGTATTTATTTGAGATATCAAAGTGGATTTTAATGGCTCCAGTTAAGCTCTTTTGCATAAGAGATAGAACATATTAGATGAACAAACATTAATACTAAATTTATGATTATTTTTAAAATCACAAAAATATTTAAAATGCTGCCTCATGTATCTATGCATATGTAGTACATTGTAATAATTTTTGAGAAATATTCCTCGAAAATAAAACCATTTTAATTTTTATATATCATTTTATATATCTTGATTTATAATAAGAATTTGGGAAGCAGTTAGTTTTTCACTGTGCTGTTTTCCTCTTAAGCCTGACACTTATTTCTTGATTCTCCTTCTATTTCACTATCTTCACGTTTTGTGATATTTTCCCCTTACATTTTATTCCATGGCATCCAGAAAGATTATCTATTGTTGAATCATTCCATGTTGAGAACCAAGACCAATAAAAATGAATGAAAAGAGTTACTTGAAGCAGATACTTGAAAGCCATTTTTATAAATGATGACAATTTTTCTCATTAAAATTCCAGGGGATGAGAAAGCCATGTGACATTTTTGTTATTAGCGTTTACGGGCTCACAGTGAGCTTGTCTGTATCAATCATCACATTTCATTTTTGGAGAAGCCACAGCAAGAGGTACTATGGCTATTTTACTTTGAATAATCTGGGGTTTAAGTGAGTTTCTGGTACCTTGGTCAAGGTTATAAAGCTAAATATTGTCCATAGCTAGGACTATATATCCATATATGAGGGGAGAGAGAGAGAGAGAGAGAGGCCAGCATCTTTGAGGTCAAGTGCAGTGTTCTCAGCACAATTCTAGAGGCAGGATGCTTTCGGTCTTATACTTACCATTGAATGAAAGAACTAAAAATACTGTTCTACGACAGTTTTCTTTAAAACAGATTAGTGTTTGGTTATTTTCCCATTCATCAAAAAACCTGTGAGGGTTTTTTTTAGTAGAATGGTCCTTCTGATTCTCTTTTGTAGCTTTTCAGGGTATAAAATATGTAAGTGGGGAGAATATGAACTTTTAATTTATGATGCAAATCTGGGTTTTATTTTGTTGGTTCTTCCTCAGTTTTTATTTTTTAAAAAACCATTCTGCCTTTGGGATCCCCAAACTTATTAATAAGTTCACTATTTTTAGGCCAAGGCACACAGTATTCCTTAGTGTATACAGTATGGCATTTAATTGCTCAGAAGTAGAAACTTCTATCCTAAAACAGTTTCTTGTCCCAAAAGGAACATATGCCAGGTAAATATATGAACTCAGATTCATCCACAGGCAAATATGTAATTTAGAGAGCAAGATGAATGCTAGAAGAAGACACTATATTTCTCCTATATTTTGATACCTGCCAAAGATACGGCTTTATTTATCCTGTGCCATTTTTCATATTCTAAATATTCCTGCCTTGCAGTGTAAGGTGACTGCTATGTTCCAATGCAGAATTCTATTAACATTTTCCAAAATACTTTTATAATCGTAGTCAAATATTTTCAGCCAAACAATGATTCTTACTTAACAGTTTCACTCGTATTATTAATTTGCCTAAGGCACAGTTCACTTCTCAGCTTTGCTTTTAATCTCCATCTCTGTACCTCTAATGATACAATACTTCTGGGAACTAGGTTGGTCGTAATGAATTTACAATGTACAGGAGGCCTACAATAAAAATCTTTTAGGGTCAAGGAACAAGTGAATGGTCCATTAAAAAAAATCAATTAGGCTCGTAATTTAAGAAAATTATTATACTTTGACTTTGTATTTCAATAACAATTTTTACAAGTATATTATTTTATTTAAACTCATGGATTTTGTAATTGAGCCAGTGAATGCATTGGACTTATTGAACTCCGTTAAGTGGAGTGTGTTTAGTGTTTATTATTTCGACAGGGCAAGCCCTCTTTGGTAAGTCCCCCTTTCTGTTCTGTCTATTGGCATTGGCAATGCTGCTTTCGAGAATGGGAACTTTAACTTCCTTGGGGAAAATTCAATTGGAGGAATAGATAAAAATAAATAAACCACTGCTTATATTCCTATCACAGCCTTTCTCTCACTGCTGACTAGTAGTAAAGTATCTCCTATGACATTATTTACCACTGTAGCTATTTGAGTTCCAAAAGTTATTTTGGCTGATTCCATATAAAAATAGAAAGCCTGGCATTCCTTAGTTATGAGGTATGACATGTCCATAAACCAAAAAAATGTTTCCCATACACAAGCCTGAATATTACTAAAGATATAAATATTGAAACATTGAAAGGACAATGAATATAATGTAAAATGTTTTTCCTACAATGTTAAGATCTATTTAGATAGGGAAAGTGAACTAGAATCTTCTGAGCATGCGTCTAAGATTAAATTTGACTTGATTCTTGCTGACTTCTTCCCCTCACTCTACACTCGCTGCCAACACTGGCAGATTGCATCTTGAATAAATGCTGTCCAAGTAGGGGAAATGGATGAGGAAGACCACCCTGTGGATCTGTCCTCTGGCTCTGCTAGTCCTGCCTGCCGCAGACTTGAGCCCATATGACTAAGGTCTTCTTTTTATTTATTTATTTTATTGGTTATAAATATTCATGTGATACGAAGCTGATTGTCACCTCTTGTGCCCATGATGTTAGGGCCAGATTCATACTGGCAGCATACTCATTACCAGAAATTGCATTTGTACCCCGTGTCCCCCACCCAATTATCCCCAGCCTCCCTCTGGTTTTCCCTTTCCCCCCTCACTCCACTTTGTAGCCCAAGGAATGTTCTCTCCCTCTGTAAGACCAACACACTACTGTGGACTTTCTTTCCTTCCTTCTTTCTCTCTTAGCTCCCACTTATGAGTGGGCACATGCGGTATTTATCCCTCTGTGCTTTGCTATTTCACTCAACATAAGTTTCTCCAGGCTTGTCCATGTTGTTGCAGATGGGAGTATTTCATTCTTTTTGTGGCAGAGTAGAGTATTCCATGGCGTATGTATATATATATATATATATACACCACAGTTTCCTTATCCAGTCATCCATCGACGGACATTTAGGTTGGTTGCATGTCTTGGCTATTGTGAACAGAGCTGCGATGAACATGGGAGTAAGGTCTTCTTGAGAAGTGGGGAGTCTGGGGATGATATCAAGGGTGAGGAGAACTGGCCCCATGATGCGCTAGGTTGGGAGAGGATGGGAAACTAAGCAAAGGTGTGAATTCAGTGCATACTCTCTGTTACTGGTTTGTCTTTCAGGCATGTCTAGGGACAGCAGACTTGGCCTTGTTCCAGAACAAGGCCCCTACTGGCTCATTTCCACCACTCCAACAGTTTGAACTCATCCAAAATAGAACCTGTTCAATGAAATGATCTGTGTAACTTCAGGTCCACTTAGCTCCCATGATGAGGCACAGTGATGGATTTCTCTGTTGACCAAGCATCAGAAGTGATGTTTTGGCTTTCTACTGTGTTTTTGCTCCAGTGATAACTCCACTTATGTCTAAATGGTAGTATATAAACCATGTGGTGCAGGGGTTCCCAAACACAGTGTTCAGCAGCAGAAAAAGGGTTCCGTGTACAAATGTGTTTGAGAAACACTTGGTTAAACCAATTTATGCTTGTTTCTTTACCTCATTATTTCTCAAAAGTCTAATTAAGTTCTTGTACAGTGTGAATCACCAAGATAGCAATAGAGTGTCATTGTTATCCTGACTTATTTATTCATGAAACATCCTCCCAACCTGTTACCTTTGTTTTTCATGGAAGACTAACATCTCTCAGAATTCAGCGAGTCATCTGGGAAATACTGAAGCAAGGAAAGACTGTTTGCTCCTGGTTCAGCCGTATCCTGCTCACTCATCTAATTGGCTGTACAAACCAGAGTTGATTGTTTCATAGAACTCCGAGCAAGTGTAAAGCCATTATTGTAACCTGCTTCTACTTTACGGCTCCTATTTTGTGTACTTATGAATCTTATTATTGCTCCAACTTTCTTTTTTCAGTATTCTCTTCCCCACATGTTTCTCTTCTGTTTAAAACATATATCTTTATAAACTCTAAGGTTTATGCTAATTCTAAAACTATAAAATTTGGGGGGGGGGAACCTTAAGATTAATATAGGAAAACAAAAACTTACCTGTATTAATACCACTGTAAACCTGCTGGTCTATGTCGTTCTAATCTTTTTTTCCTCTATGAAATACCTGTAGCCACACATATGGAGGTACTTTTCGAAATATTCTCACACATTATCTTCTAAAAGTTGACATCTATTTTCATTTTGATTGCTTTTGCATTTTCATGCATTCTTAGAAAATTATGTTACATATTTTCTGGAACAAAGCCAAGTCTGTATGAAAAGATGGATGGATGGGAAGGAAGGACAGAAAGAAGGAAAGATGGTCTGAAAGATGAAATATTAGCTGCGATACCTGGCTAAATTCCCCAACACTCAAATAATATTTACCTCATATGCTATTCATTCTGTTAAATGAGATTTATAATGTTAACTGGCTTGCATTTTGTAGTTACTCAGCAAGTAAAAGCTATTGCAATATTATTGTCTATATCTACATAGTAAGTTGTGCTTGGAAATATTTCCAAGGGTACTGAATGCTTCTAGTGGAGATATGAAAAGGTAATGAATGTCTTATGCAGTCCTTCCAGTGTATGAGAAGTATTAATGTATCTGTTAGAGAAATATAGATTCATATTATTACA